CCCGTTGCATCTGAGTGGAAGGGAGTGGCAGGTGGGACCTGGAGAAGTGGGGTCTGGGTGCACAGCTCGCCTGTCGGTCTCCCCAGCATTAAGGGTGAGTGTGCGCGGGAACAGTGGCTCAATGTGAGGGGTCCTGCCAGCCAATTGGCCTATGTGAGGGAGCCCAGCTCTGTGTCCACATGATGCTGTGACCTCCTGCTAACATCACCCAGGATCCAGCCCCCAGCAACCAGGTGGGGTTCCAAGAGTACTGCTCACATCAGCACCAACGTCAGCCTTGCATGGCCCGGCTCGGGGGCCTGTTGGCTAAGAGTTACAATGTATGCCGCAAGATCAAAGGAGATGCCACACGTAAGGCCAAATGAATCTTCATTCAAAGCTGGTGGCTGTGAGAGGACTCACATCTCTCAAAAACTTCGCCACCCTGGAAGTAAGTGGGAAAGCGGCTTATAAGGGCAAAAACCACATCCCATTCCTGAAAGGGGAGGCTTGCTGGGCCCAGTGTCTCACACTCAGGGACATCTGGTCGAGCTGGCTGGGCTGGTATGTGTGGCATGCAGCTGCACCTCCTGGGCATTGCAAGCATGTACAGAAGCAGCATATCATTGGGTTGGGCACTTACAGAAATAACGATAAAATTTCCTGCAGTACAGAATCCATATCAAGAGCCGGAACCCACATGGCCAACCTGTCCCAGAGTCCCAGACCCGGCAGCTTGAGAAACATACAGGGCACATGTGTGCGTATGCCCCAAATCCCAAAAGGAGAGAGATGAAGGAGAAGGGATTGGGGCGTGACCACCCCCCACGAGGGGTGCTTTCTCCTCTTCCTCTCTCTGTCTCTCTTTGATGAGGATCAGCAGGGCCCAGGGCACATGTGTGCACACTGGAGTGTGAAGGTCCTGGACTAGGTGCCCGGGTTCCTGACCTCCTCGTTCAGATGCATTGCTGTGTTCCAGGCACCCAGGTTTTCAGGGTTGCAGGAAGGTGGCAGGCCCCTCCCTCTGCCCACCCCTCGCCTCCCATCTGAGGAGCTGCTGTCAGAGCAGTGGAAGGGACCCCTGAGCAGGGGAGAATGAGCAAGGAGCCCAGAGCAGCAGGGGCTAAACGGAAGCCGGAAGTCAGAATTTGCTAGACGCCCCACCTGCCTGACCCCCACCTGCCTGAGTTCCTTCCTGGGTTCTGACCCGAACGGCTGAGTCTCTGAAGAAGCTGCCCCTGGCCTGCTCCAAGCCTCCCTGTGGGGATGCTGTGTGCCCGGCGTGATGTCCCAACACACAAGCAGACCCGCCTGCTGGTCCCAGGGGCGTCATCATTGGCCAGACTTCATGCAACACGTGGCTGCCTTCATACCAAGACGCTTCAGGTGTGAGCGGTGCTCTCCCCCCCACTTTGGGGCAAGCTCAAAGCTCCATCTGTTGTCCCCGTACCTGGCAGCCATCTCAGAGAAGCCATGACCTGGCTGCTATGTCCCTTTGTGAGGGATCTTTGTTCAGCCTACGGCACCCACCAGCCCCCCACTCCATATAACAGGGTGGCTGTCCTTGCAGAACTTTCCCCCACTCCCACCCCCACCAGAAACACACACACACACACACACGGTATAGTTAAAATAAAATGCATTTCATTTATATAAATAACTTCATCAACAAATCATACAAGGAAGACCCAAGCGGTCTCGGGAGCAGCCTAGGGTGTTTTTTTAAATACTGAGACATAAATAACTGTACAGAGGGCAGTTAAATACAAGATGGTGCAGCAGCGCCTTCTGGTGGTCATGCCAAGTATTGCAATTGGAAGAGGGTGCCGAAAGGGAAACAGGAGGCTCTGATCACGCCAGGATGCAACCTGGCAGTTGGCCAAGTAAGAGGCTTGGGGAAAAGGGAGGAAATAAGGAGGTGGGGATGTTGCTTTCCTCCATCTCTCCAGGTCCAGGGACCTCAGATAACCAAGAGTGGGCTCCATGACTGCATGCAGACTGGTTTTAACTGTCAGATCCCCGAGACCTCTGGGCTTCCCTGCTGCCCGTCCTTTTTCAGCCCGTAGGGAAACACAGCACTGAAGATATCTTCATGGTAGCGCTTCTGGCTCTTTAAAGGGAAGCAGAGACCAGGCTGTCAGCCATGCCGTGAGCGCCTCTCGAGCAAGTCCAGGCTCAGACGAGTCCCTGGGCTGCCCCAGCTCCCTCACCACAGATGTTATATGCCATGGGCCTTCCTGTGCCGAGGTTATGCTCGAACTTGGCTTAGACTCTTTTTAAATTTTTTTTCCTTATTCACGATGGCGTGCTTGTGCATGAGTGTGAGAGGGCAAGCACCTGCACATCACGATCTCCTCCCTCCGGCCCTCCAGCCCGACGGATCTTGGGCACTCATGTGTGCCTGCTATGTTTCAGGCCGGTTGGGCTGGGGATTCGAACAGTAGCTGCCATGCAGGATCCTTTCCTTGAGCAGTGCGTTACCACCGCATCGCAGAACCAGCCCTGGTGTAGACTCTTGGCCCCTGTCAGTGGCTGCTGGATGGGGACCTTCTGAGACTCTCCCCACGCTTCAGGGACAGATGGCATTCCCATCCCTGCCTAGCCCTTGTCCCACAGATACTCCGGGAAATGCGAGCCCCGTGCTGGGCACGCTTGGGAAATGCTACCTATTCCTTTTCTCTCCACCTTGGATTGTCACAGTGCAGTCACGTGTGCAAAGTGCTGAGAAGCTGTGCAGTCAAGGCACACGTTCACCTCGGTGGGACCGTGCGTGCCCCATACTACTTGACCTTGGAGACTTTAGATGTCAAATACCCCCCTGAACACATGTAGGGCAAGACCCCTGACCTTGCTGCTCTTCAAACACACCAAACTAATCCCGCCCCAGGGCCTTTGCACATGCCGCACTGCCCAGAACACTCCAGAATGTTTCCTTCAATATCCACAGGGCTCTCTCCTTCCCCTTCAACTCTTCTCTCAAATGACACCTTCAGTGACACCTTTCTCACTGCCCTATTGAAAGTTAAGCCTCCTAACTCGCCCTGTCCCACGTCCCTGCTTAGTTGTGCTCCAGAGCACTGCATGTCTGACTGACTTTGATTGCTCAGCCCCACCAGCAGGCAGGATCCCCGGGCAGGAATGACTGTTGCCTGGCTGACCGCTCTATCCCCACAGTAGATGCTCCATACATAGTCAGTTGAACATACGAAGGTGGCCTAGGGGGAGCACAGAAGTGACGCACAGGCTTCGGAGCCAGAGAGAGCGCTCATGTTCACAGCTGTGGACCCCGCAGGGCTCCCTTCCCTCCCCATAAAATGGGGGTGATGATGGTGCTGCCCTTATAAAAGGTCACATGCACATCCTTGGCAAGCACCTGTCCCCATTGAAGTGCATAAACATGGCCACGATCATCATTCAACGGTGAGCCTTTGAAGCTGGGTCTGAGGGGGAGCAGACCCTGAGCGGAGCGTAACAGGTGGGAGGCCTATAAGGTGGAGGGCCTCTCCGTCCTGGCGTTTACAGCCCTGCTATGGCTACCTGGACACATTCTGTAAAGGGGTTGGAAGGGAGGCCAAGGAGCCTCTCTAATCCTTGGGTGGAAAACTAGACAAATTTACCAAACCTCTCCTAGCCAGACCAGGATGTCCAACTAGGTGCCCAGCAACCCGTTCAGCTCTGCTCTCCAGCCACCACCCGATTCCTGGGGCTCAGGTCTGCTCTGGGCACTGCCCCCGTCCTAGCTCCCTGGCCTGGGCCCTGCACCGGCACCCTCTGTCCTCACACCAGTTACCGTACCTTGAGCTGGAAGAAAAAGTCCTCCACCTGCTCCTCGCTGAGGCTCAGCTTGACTGCCACCAGTTGCTTCAGGGCGTGGGCCACGTCCCGGGCCATCCGCACATCGCCGCACACATAGAGGTGGCCCGGCTCCTCGTGGAGCACACGGAGCACCTCGCTGGCCAGCTGCTGCTGCAGGAGGTCTTGCACATAGACCTGGAATGGGAGAGAGAAGGTGGGTCCCAGCTCCTGCTGCCAGGAGTGAGGCCTGCAGTAAGGTCTGCTGGCTACAGGGAGGTGGGGAGGAGGCGCTGAAGGCTGCATGGCAAGCACCCACCCAGCTGGGGCCTGTATGGGACCAGACCCAGGGCAAGGGGCACTGACACCCTAGAGAGACACACATTGGGTTCAGCCCCTCCTTCTACGAGTTGGCCACCTGGGGAATCCCAGACTTTGTTTGCATTTACCATGTTTAAAAGAGGCGAGCCTCTCTAATCCTTGGGTGGAAAACTAGACAAATTTACCAAACCTCTCCTAGCCAGACCAGGATGTCCAACTAGGTGCCCAGCAACCCGTTCAGCTCTGCTCTCCAGCCACCACCCGATTCCTGGGGCTCAGGTCTGCTCTGGGCACTGCCCCCGTCCTAGCTCCCTGGCCTGGGCCCTGCACCGGCACCCTCTGTCCTCACACCAGTTACCGTACCTTGAGCTGGAAGAAAAAGTCCTCCACCTGCTCCTCGCTGAGGCTCAGCTTGACTGCCACCAGTTGCTTCAGGGCGTGGGCCACGTCCCGGGCCATCCGCACATCGCCGCACACATAGAGGTGGCCCGGCTCCTCGTGGAGCACACGGAGCACCTCGCTGGCCAGCTGCTGCTGCAGGAGGTCTTGCACATAGACCTGGAATGGGAGAGAGAAGGTGGGTCCCAGCTCCTGCTGCCAGGAGTGAGGCCTGCAGTAAGGTCTGCTGGCTACAGGGAGGTGGGGAGGAGGCACTGAAGGCTGCATGGCAAGCACCCACCCAGCTGGGGCCTGTATGGGACCAGACCCAGGGCAAGGGGCACTGACACCCTAGAGAGACACACATTGGGTTCAGCCCCTCCTTCTACGAGTTGGCCACCTGGGAATCCCAGACTTTGTTTGCATTTACCATGTTTAAAAGAGGCATCAGTCAAGCCAGTTCCCCCGTCCAGGGCTCTGAAGCTTACTCTCTATATCCCAGGAGGGGAGCCCCTCAGTGCAGACAGTCCATCAGACAGCCGCTGACGTGCAGGACAGGCTGCCGATCCTGGTCTGCGCTGAGACAGAAAGCCCGCCAGCCAGGCAGGGCCTCTGCTCTTGCTCCACACATGTGCCGGCACTGGCACAGAGCACGGGGCCCAAGAGGAGTCCTGAGGGACAAGTTCCCAAGGGCTGAGCGTCTACTCTGACCCCCAGAAGTAGCCACCCGAGGGCTGTGGTGCCTTGCTGGGCTGGAGGATAAAGATACATCCCCCACTGCATTGTGTAACCCAGGGAGGCTGCTGGGCCCTGGAGATTAACCACAGCGTGCCCCCAAGCTAGTCCTGAACCTCTCGGCTGTCTCTGCTCCTGGGAGAGGGGCATCCTGATCACTGATGACTATGTAATTATCCTTGTTTTAGAGGTGGGACAAAGGCTGGAGGGGCAGGGGCTCACGGGAGGCCCTGCATGAGCCATGGTCCTGCTCTTCATGCCGCACTTCCTGTGCGCTGCACTTACCTTGGGCTTGCCGGGCAGGCGAGAGTAGGCCGTGTGCACCTCATGCAGCACCCCCTTCCAGGCCATCTTCAGCATCTCATCCCGATAGAGGTGGTCCTCGTCTGGGTGGCGGCACCCAAACACTAGGGTCATGCGTCCACCCTGGAGCCCTGCAAGACACACCAGCTGCAGTTATTGTGGTGGCCACCAGGGGGCAGGCTGTGACCGAAGGCCTTCCGTCCCCAAGAATACTCCATTTGGCATTATCCCCATTCTACAGATGGGGGCTGAGGCCCAGGGCATTCAGATCACTGGTTCATAAAGAGCAGACACCGGAGCCCATGCAGCCTGTTGGAGGTCGAAAGCAGGGACTTTCTTGTTACCCCACCCCCGGAGAAGGGGCTCTGGCTCCAAGACAGGAAGACAGCAATCCCGCCCTGCAGAAGCCACACAGGCAGGGACAAACATAGAGGCCTGCATTTGAGGAAGGGGCCAGGAAACATTCGGGAGGTGGTGGCCCGGCTCCCCCTCGCTGCGGCTCTACTCCCAGGCAGGCCCTGGCCCCGAGTGCCCTGCCCACCAGGGGCCCTGGAGCTAGACCTTTGTGCTCAGAGTCATGGAGCCGCTGTTGCCAGAAACTGCGGAAGGGGGCGATGCCTGTGCCGGGTCCTATGAGGAGGCAAGGATGGGAGGCGTCCTCGGGGAGCCGGAAGCCGCTGGCACTGGAGGGGGACAGGAGAGGGAGGCCTCAGTCTTCAGACCCTCTGGGCCAGAGGCACACATGGGACAGGCTGGGAGCTGGGGTGTTGGGGTGGAGGTGTTGGGGTGAAGACAGCCAGCTCATGTGCCTCCTGGGTCCTGCAGGCTGCTTCCTTCCCGCTGTCCAGGCACACCGTCACTGCGCCCTGGGCCCTCCTGACAAAGCCCCCCTCATTGAACTGTGGATCCCCGCACCACCACTGCATTGTCATTGCCCTGAGACTCAACCACACAGCCGCCAGGGGTGGAGTGGAGGGCTCAGGACGGGGCCCAAACTCAGACAGCTTCCTTTCATCTGAGCGCACCGGGCTCAGTGGTCCCACAGGGACAGGGAGGGGTGGGGTGCTCACCTTCGCATGAAGCAGGGCACTGGGTCTTGGGGCTTCAGGCTGCTGAGCCATGTGCTGCAGACGCCATGGTGCAGGGGGCCCTGGCCATCTGCAAGGACACCGTAGACCTGACCAGGATGCCCCATGCCCCTGCCTGCGTGAGCTGGGCTAGGGCAGGGCTGCTCTACTTGGGCCTCTGGACAAGACCTGGCCTCCCAGGCTCTGCGGCCTCATGCCAAGTGTGGCCCTCATAGCACCTGCACTATCATTCTCAATACCTACACACGGTGGCTCTCCAGCTCTCCTATGCCTGCCTCTCCCCTGCCCTCTGGCTGCTCCAAGAGCCAGGGCTGTGTCTCCGTATCCCCACACCTGCCAGGGTGCCGAGTGTGGATGAGCCATCACGGGATGAGCTCAGTGAGTGGACAGTCAGCACAGAACACCCCCGTGTCCAGGAAGATAAGAGCCTCGGGGCTCCCAGGACATGCTAGGTGCTTTCCACGCTTGAGCTCATTAGGTTGGTCCACAGTCGCAGGGCAGTAGAGTGGATGAGAAAGTGGACTTGGCACTTAGACAGCCTGGGTTTGAATCTTCACTTTCATTAACAGAGTGACTTTGAGCGAGAGACTTAACCTCTCTGTGACTCAGTTTCCTCACCTCTAAAGTGCACACAGCACCTGTCGGATAGGGTTACCGATGATACAAAGGGACTAGCTGTGCCTGGCTCACGGTACTCTCTCCCACACACCTGTCACATTCACAGCTCTGGGAAGTGGTATCGCCGCCCCCATTGAACTAACGAGGAGACCGATGCTCAGAGATGTGGAACAGAGGAGTAGCAGAGCGGGGCTGCCCTGGAGCCTCTGCCCAGCCTCACCTCGGGTGCGGTATGTGAGCACGGCCACGGTGAGGTGGACCTCCGAGGGGGTGTGGTCCTGCGAGGAGCTGATGGAGTAGTACCGGGGTTTCAGGGTGGGGAGCTGGGAGAGCAGGAAGCCAGCAGACACCCGCAGGGACGGGAACTCCTCCAGCACCTCCAGGAATGTGGGGCTGTTGGTGAACTTCCACTTGCTGTACTCTGCGGGCTGAGAGCAAGGGGCAGGGGGTGGCAGTCAGGCGCCTGCCTCCTTCAGAAGAGGCCGTCACAACCCGGTACCCATTCAATTGTTCACTCAACGAACACGGGGCTGTGGCAGGCGCTGTCCGTGGTGCTGACACTACCAAGCTGGAGAGGAAAGCATTC